ATACTAACCCTTTCCAAACAAAAGCCCATAATAGGTAAAGAACTAATATTTATCTGTTCACTGTTAGTTGCATCTCTCATACTAAACCTATGAGCAATACCTGATCCTTTCAATGCCTCTGAACAGTGTACTAGTATATTAAACCTTTCTGATACTTGATATGTTTGTTTTCAAAAGTACAGATTTTTGCATCTGCCTAATCTGTTAGATGTTTTCCATCATTTGTTCTGTTTGTGGGTTTTATCTTACTTCTACACAAACAGGGTCCATGTGGTTGCTTAGTTTGCCAGGTCTCCATTTAAGCAGTGAGCATTCTATTACAGCTTGGACAGCTGACCCCAACTGGGAAAAGAGATATCCCATAGGGTCATGCTCAGTATATAAACCTGGGGGAAAGTTGCCTGGAGGGCCACTGCTTGGGAGCAGGCTGAGCATCATTTAGTTGGTGGTGAGAAATTGCTGTTCATTCGTATTGCCTACTTTTCTTGAGTTTTATTTATCTCTCTTCTTGTTATTTTTCTTTTTATTACATTTTTTAAAAAAAAAAAATATTTTATTTAAGTTGTTTTCATGTTCTTATCTCAACCCACGAGTCCATGAGTTTTCTTTTAGCCCTGCAGTTCCCCCTGTTCTCCAGTTCTCTTTCACATCCCACTGAGGGGACAGAGAGTGAGGTGTGTGTGCGGCACAGAGTTGCCATTTGGCATCAAACCATTATGTCAGTGCACAGATGACCCACAAAATCATGCTAGCTCTCAAATTACTGACAATTAGTGAAATTTGTGAAGTGGATGTATCTGTGCTAGTAAAATTAAACTTGGGGCCCGCAGCTGAACTGTGTTCCAACTATACTGTGTTCCAACCTAGATCTGGGTTTTGAAAGTATCATAAGTTCAAGCCAAAATGATTACAAATGTCTGTTCTTCTCTTAAAACCACTCTTAGGAACAGCCGATGGCTTTACTAATATTTTATAAGCTCACATTGGAATATGAAACTAGTGGCTACTGTATCTACTAGTAAATTAAACAGTGTGAAGGCATGGGCCCAAGTACTGTAACTCATTTACTTATATGGTTGTGTTGTTAGAAAATGCCTTGGCATTATTCTCACCTTGCACTTTCCCAAGTAATTCTAAGATATGGTTTAGTTGTTACTCCAGTATAGGAGCCAGTAGGCAGTTTGCATGTGGCTCATCTCTCTGGTCAGTGTTTACTGGTATGTATGGCCAGTCTGTGCCAGCTGCCCTTGTAGCCAGACTGGCACTCTTAACTGAGTCACAGAAGTGTAGACAGTGTATCTGTTCTACAGCAACTTTATAGAAAATGCTTTTATTATGAGATAAATGTGCCATAATTAAAAATGGTTTTATTGCTCTTTCATTCACTCTGGTGCTGTATTGTAGCACACCCAAGAGGCCATAAATTCACTCTAGTTTATACCCCACAAAGTCTTTTATCCGTAGCAGTGGTCCTTCACAAAATTCTCAAATCATTATGGTATGTAAAGATGAATAAAATGGAAGGAAATTGTGGTCAGAGTAGTTTGTCATCAAGCACATCCACACCTGTGTATGCAGGAGCATTGAATATATATGCTGGCTACTGTACTAATTTGTCTTCAATCAATGGCTACTTTGATTGTCTTCAATCAAAATTTCTATATTTCTGTTTTGACCACAGTGTTTGTGAAAGTGTGTATTCAAATAGCAATAACAAATAAGGATTTTCCACAATCTAGTTTGTTTTTCTTGCAGTGTGCATACTCATGAATCTCAATGATTTTAGTATCATATGCTGTATGTAGCACTGTAGCACCATCTTGTGTGAGCTGCAAATGTCGTTTCTGTATATGCATTCAGTGATTTTCATGTGGAATATAACAATTTTATTTAAAACCCTTCTATGTAAAACTGAAATTGGGAAATGAGAACACAAAATACATCCTCCTTATAATCCATGTGGTTTCTATGTAAGATTTCTTAACAGTGCATTCATTTAAGGTACCTCTCTGTTAGGATGATCCATATAAATATGAAGCATGGGATGCTGAACTTCGCAGGCAAGAAATATGCATTCTGTCTGCATTGTGGTACAAAACTACAGAATTAAAGCAGAGAAATTGGAAGCTTTATGGGAAATGAAATTAAATTAAATGATAGTATGGGAAAAGTCAGCTAGGGAAAATTAAGTGGAAATGGCTGTGGAAGAGCTGACAGGAATAAAGCTGAAAAATGCTTTTAAATGACTGCACATAGCAAATGGGACAAGGACACAGAACTGAACGTTCATATTCAGCTGTACTGCTTTGAGTTTTCTGTATGTTTGGAAAAATGCACGTGTGTAGGGACAAAAAATTGGAAGGGAAACACATAAAACAATTTTGTTCATATGACAGAGAAAACAATAATTGGAGGCATGTTTGTGGTGCAATGAATACATTCCTACCCTTTGATATCTCACATATGGGTCTTTTTTCCACCTTTTCATGCTTTAATTTGTGTTGTTTCCTTTCATTTTTCTTCCTACTTTTACAGAGCCAATTTCAGAATACTCAGCAGTGTGTATAAGAGGAATTATAGTCTTAATGCAGGTTCAGCCATGGAGGTGGTAACTAATGGTGGTTACCATTGCTGTGAGTCCAGTATATCATAGTGGTCTTGACACCTCTTCTTTTGAATGTAATGAAAAGAAGCTGCTCCCACATCACTTTTACCACTTTCAGTCTTTTCTTTTGCTCTCTCAAGTATCTACTTTGTCCATATATATTTTAGGCAGTTTTAAATATGTAGTAACTCCAATTCTCTTTGAGTGATTATTCATTTACATGATGGAAGCACACAGGTTTAAGAACTCAGAGCACAGGAATTTTTTGCCTTCACTGTAACATATAAATACATTTTACCTATGTGTGCTGGCTGAATGTGGCATAGGGGTAAAACACACCCCTTCTTCCTTTTTATATGGAACTGAGTCATAACTGTTTCCATTCCATGGCATCTAAAGTGTCCTGGGCCACAGTATTTTATGACTATTCTTCAGTTAATGCTAGGAGTAAAAATGTTTTAATTCTGTGGGTTTTTCTATGATTTCCTCAATCAAAAAATCTAGCTTCAAACCAACACTGCATGAGAACACATCATACCGTCCCAACTGCAACAAGTGCTTAGACTCTTGGAGGGAAATCATGTAATTGCTCAATATTCAGTCTGTCAGGGTTTCATATGAGACAGTAAAAGCTATTTGGAAAAGCTGCAATGCTGCTTTTTTGGTAGGAGTAACTGGTGGAAATATGGACCTGATAAATTTGGTTTTATTTTCACAGTAAAAGAAATAGATTTGTATGACTTTAGATCATGACTATAGGTATCAGGAGATGTATTGTGTGATCAAGAAAGATGGCATTTGACTTCTCTGCAATCAAATCTCTCCCACCTCATGGCCAAATAGTTTTCTATTAGTCTTTGATAATTGCTAAAAATGCAGATCATGAAGAGAAAGCACTAACCTGTAAAACATGTATTGACAGATGCTGGGGAAAAAAACCCTGAGGTCTTTATGCATATATTTGTGGTCCATTGTTCTTCTCTGTCCTCTTTGGTTACAGTTTGTGTTTGTGAGCCTTAGGGAAAGGAATTTTTCCTCTTTCTTTTGAAATGATAAAAGCAACCAGAAGAAAAAAATCTGTGGGTACCAGTTTCCGAAGACAGACTGCAAAAAATAAAACACCAAAAAAACCCCAACAACAAAAAAAAAAACAAAAACACAAACAAAAAATCTTGTATCAATGCTTCTCTCACCACACTTTCTAGCTGTCTGCTTGCAATGTGTAGACTAGTGAGAGGTAGGGTTTCCCGTTTTGCAACAATTTTGACGGCAAGCAGGTGCAGCTAATTTTAAAAGCCTTTAATCTAGAACACTTGAGCATTTAGGCAGCCATCATGTCCAAATGAGCAATACGTCCTGAAATCTACCTGACTGTGTAAAGATTATTTCCTCTTAACTAATCTTCCATTGCACCTTCCATTTTTCACTGTGAGGTTCACTCATGTGAGGAATTTAACTGTTTTCTAAATCAACATTAATCTAATGCAACTACATCCTATAGCTCAGACAGTAAAAGGAATTGAGAGAAAACATAATTATTGTTAAACTGAAGATACTCAGATTAAAAGTTCAGTGGTAATAAAAACTGGCTAAATAAATATTGGTTAAATTTTTCTATAGGCATGGAGGACGGATAATAGTATCCAAGATTTTGATAGTTTTAAAACTACTTTAGAAGACTCATAGCATGATTCCAACCCCAGACTGAAAGAGTTATGTAAGAGACTGGTGTAAAGAGAATGAAAGTCATTTGTATATGTGGTTGAAAATACTGCTTTACAAACCAAGTCACTTCTGGTGCATCAAACCATAATCAGATTTTTTCCACTGGCACATTTTATGAGTTCTGTTTAATGTCTGAGATACACCAAAATCCCAGGTACTGCAAAACCTATGGGACAAGAAGGGAAGTGCTGTGGATATTTTGTATTTTGCCATCCTATATTCTGAATTTTGATTAAAAAATCAAATTTTCTCCTTTGAGTTTTGCCGTTTCCATGAAGAAGCTGTCACAGAGAACACAAACCAAAACTCAAACCTGAGCAGTGGCTCTAATAGCAGTCATTCAGGAAATGTTCATGCTTTCCTCAATGCACCACTTCTGTTCCCACTGTCTCTGACCATATGAGGCATACAGAAAATTGGCTGCTCTTTACTATGCATAGAATATTATGCTATTATACTGATAGGCTGAAATTCAAATTTCACTTACCTAAGATTATAGTAGAAATGGAAGAGATTTTTCATTAGTGGTTTATATGCTCATATAGATTATTTTAGTGTCTTTTTCACCCCTTTCTACTGTCATTTAAGAATATTCTATTTAAGAACTTAATGTATGTGCTGACACTAGTAATTTCCTTTAAGTAATTTCCTTTTTATTTAATTTCTTTAGTTTCAGATAACTCTTCGAGTGATCCAGTAGAAGTTACAGCACTTTATTCATTTGAAGGACAACAGCCAGGTGACTTGACTTTCAAAGCTGGAGACAAAATCACAGTGACAACTAAAACAAATTCCCAGTTTGATTGGTGGGAAGGAAGAATAGGAGGAAAAACTGGCATCTTTCCAGCCAATTATGTTGCCATAAGTAACAACTAAATTTGTACAGAATAAAATGTTGGGGCAGTAATATATTTACACTGAAAAATATATTTTAACTTTTCCAATTTTATTAAAATAATATTTTTGATCAATACTATTCTAATAAAAAAAATTAAATGCTTTGAATGACCATAACTTTCCCCTAAATTTATTTCCTAAGTAAACAGCAGGTGATAGTCAATTTATGAGAGTTTTATTTTTGAGCAAATTGCCCTGTAAAAAGTAACCCAATTTGTGTATAGTTTCAATTCTGTCTTCCTATATGGATTAATTTTTTACATGAGGGAAAAATTGGAAACACTTTAGAATTAGATATGTTGAAAAAAATGTTTAATTTCTATTAAATTGTAATTTATGGTCATTTCTTTAATAAATGCTCTTAAATTTGCTTCAAACCATGTCTGAGTCAGAGTTCTTTACTTAGAAAATACTTTTTTTCACAGGTATGGCAGATAAAAGTACATTCATATTTTATTTTTAAAAAAAATTTTTTTTTTTTTAAAAACCAGTAGATATTGCGGGTTTTTAATAACTAATTTAGGTCTGGTCTGTAATGTTTCTCATTGTTAGGCATACAAAGACCTTTTTTAAAACAACTCTGACAGTTAAGCAGTTCAGCTTCTCTGATATCTTGTCTTATATTGCCCTCACCTCTGGAGAATTTAAGCACTTCTGAAAATTTGTGTAGTAAAATGCATGAATAATCCCTCAGAAAGCATATAGGCTTATCCTTGATTCCTGTAGGAACTTGTTCTCTCTATCTACAAGACAGAGAAATTTCTGGTTCACAAATGAGCTTGAATTCTTCCTGCTTCTTCCCATTTAAAACTTTTTGAATCTTTAAGAAAAGAGCAACATAAAGTAAACTACAGATTTATAATAGTAAGATAAGGAAGATATTTATGTAGGATAGATGTGATAGTAATGTATAGCACTATCATTATCAGATTTCAACTTAATTCTGAGTATATTCAATCAACTTCATTTTGCAGATAAAGATGCTACCTTTAAAGTTGATGTGACAAATCAGAGCAGAGGTCAGAATGAGACTTCGGGTTTTTTAGAACCAGTTCGGTTCCCTTCTCAATGCTGAATATGCTGAATATGCCTCTTATAGGGAGTTAATGACAAGATGATAATTATGCTTCATCAGTCTCAGCTTTTCCCCAATTTAAAATGTATTAAGTCTTTGTTTCTTCTATGAGGACCAGAAATTTAGTATGTGTGATCTTTCCAGCAACCAAGTTATAGTTGATCTGTTATGCTCTATTAATCCATCAGGTAATCTTCAGCTTTAAGTTGTACCATCAGAATGGTAAGGCTAAGCCTAGCATAGATGAAGAGTTAACATCAGGAAGTTATTCAGTTCTGCAAACATTTATTTTTGTCAGACTGGGCCAAAATACATTTGATAAAGTTGAACTGAGACAGAAGAGACTGAAACCATAGTCAAATGCATTTACAACCTTTAAGTGAAAATTCTTCATATGCTTTGTCTCATGATTTAGACAATCTGTCTTCAAATAAATACCGCCACCAAACAGATCCATACTTCTTGCAAATGTTTTTTAGTGAGTATTTTCCAGCTAGTGGGAAAGAGTTACAGTCTGAGGTGAGAAAGTAGGTTCTGTGTTTACCTATCTTTGACAGACTGCATCTATTGCTTCTTAAGCCAGAAAACACCAAATAAGCCACTATCAGGACTCAGTGAACAGGATTTATAATAGTGTAATAGTCCCAGAAGCTAGATATTGTCACATAGTCACAAAGAATAACTCCTGCATTTATGATATCCCATTGCTGCACTTTAGTGATACACTATAAGCTGAAGCATGCACTAGCAGAATTCTGCTGTAATACTTCATTAGTTATTTCCAGAATGTTGGCTGCTTTTTCAGCCAGTGTACTTGCCTTTATGTGGAGTTGTTAAAGCTTCTTAAGTCATCTCAAGTGTCTTCTTCCATGAAACTGTCAGAATTTATGAACTTGCACAGTAAAATCTTTTTATTGTTTATGTAAATTCAGTTTCTTGGATTGTCTTAGCTGAGTTTAGGAAAAATGAGGATTTTCTAATCTCAGGATTCAGGATAGTCTGTAGGCTCTGCAGGATATTAACGATTAATTACTAAATCCAAGCTGCATTTTGAGAGGGAAGTATTAAATAGAAAGCATATCTTATGACTGGAATGTGTCTTACTTCATTTAAATGTAATATAGGAAAGAGAAGATTCAGCAAATTAGCCTAATGCAAGAAAAATCATTGGTTGTCAAAAACAATCCCTGAAGCACTACAGAACTCAACTGCCTGATTCCAAATGTCATTGACACAGGTTGTATCAGTTCAGATCAGTGGGCTTAGGCTAGTTCCAAAACTGCCTTTGTCGTTCTAATTAGGAACGGCGAAAAGAACGACATAGACTCTCAAGGGAGTCAGAACAGGAGAATCTCTTAGTTTATTGCTCGAGGCCTTTTTTATAGAGAGATACGTGGAAAGTACAGAAAGGAAACTCTTATTGGTTAGTTAACTGCTACATCACCATCATTGGTCAGTGGGGCTCACCACCCCCCTGACTTTCTCCTGCAAGGAAAACAAGGAATAGAAAACAACACCTGCAAGGCTGTTTTGTGTCCCTGAGGACTGTTTTAATTCCTTCTCATGTTTTTCCCAGACTACATTCTCAGGCAAGCCTGAGGAGCTATGCGGCCTGTAATTTATACAGGCACTCTGGCTCAGATTTAGCATCCATATGCCTTTGCAGTAAAAACACTTTACAGTAAAAGGCAGTCTGCACATTTCAGTAAACTAAGTTTACTGTTCTGTAAGGAACAGCAGTTGAATGTCAGGTTCTCTGCAGCACGTCTAGGAACAAAAACCTAGAGATACAGAGTCACCTATAAGACACATGTTCTGGTAAGAGAGGTTTTCCATCAATGAAAATCCATGTGTGTGTTCCTACAGGATGCCTGATGAGATCCAGAAGAAAGATATGAAGAAGATGGTGCTCTGGCACAAAGTATATCATGAGTTATGAGGTGCCTGGTATCCATCTATTAGTGGGGGTTGGGAGATGTCTGCCGCACCAAATCAGTGGTAATCTGTACTGGAAAGAGAAAAAATTAGTTATGGAGCCATGGGATTCCCTCAAGAGGATATTTAGCAAAAGATACAGAGATTACAGATTCCTGTGTGTTGTGCAGGTTCAATTCATCATTCTGCTTTTATAAGCAGTTACCTTCAGCATATAAAATAACTGCTTTATTGTTGAAACACAATTAATGAGAAAACAGTAATTTCTATATATACAGTACAGGTACTTCCCATATTTATTTTGTGATTATATATGGCAGCTCAGTTTCCTGTCAGTCCTCATGGGTTTTATTTTGAGCAAGGTGATTCCTGAAGGGTCATAATTAGGACTATGTGCTCTCTGTGTTCAACACAAAAACTGTGTGCAACTATTGTTAAAAGATCTTTCTTCCATATCCATTTCAATTAATGCATCCACTTTAATTAACTATTTAAAATCATATCTATTCAGAGATTTTAAAACTTGTTTTGAAAATCCTTTTCAGTTTATTGAGAACTGGCTAAACAGCAAATCCCAAAAGGTTGTAATGAGTGGTATGGGGTATAGTTGGGGACCTGTCATTATTGTTGCCCCCAAGGTTCAACACTGGGCTCAGTATTTTTTAATTTATCAACATTTATTTGTTCCTGACTTGGACAAAGGTGCAGATACATCCTCAGCAAGTTTGCTGACATCACAAATCTCTGAGGAGTGGCTGGTACCCCAGAGGGCTTTGCAGCCCTTCAGAAGGGCTGGGGAGAACTGTGAAATTCAACAAAGGCAAGTGCAGGGTCCTGCACCTGGGGAGGAACAACCCAATGAACCTGTATTGACTGGGGGCTGATCTGCTGGGAAGCAGCTCCGTGGAGAAGGACGTGGGGGTCCTGGTGGACAACAAACTGTCCCTGAGCCAGCAGTGTGTCCTTGTGGCCAAGAAGGCCAAATGTATCCTGGGGTGTGTTGGGAAAAGCTTTCCCAGCAGATCAGAGGAGGCTGTGTCCAGTTCTGGGTTCCTTAGGACAGGAGAGATGTGGAGCACCTGGAGCTGGTCCAAAGGAGGGCTACAAAGATGATTAAGGGGCTGGAACATCTCATGTGGAAAGGCTGAGGGGGCTGGGCCAGTTCAGTCTCCAGAAGAGGTAACTGAGAGGGGACCTCATCAATGTCTGTTGGTATCTGAAGGGAGGCAGTCAGAGGATGTTTCCAGGCTCTGCTCTGTGGTGCCAAGCAATAGGACAAAAAATGGGCAGAAACTGATGTGCAGAACGTTCCCCCTGAAGATGAGGAAGAACTTCTTTTACTTTGCAGGTGACTGAGCACTGGATCAGATTGCCCAGAGAGGCTGTGGAATCCTGTATAGTATGCTCTAGGATGACCCTACTTGAGTGGGAACTTGGACCAGATCACAGAATCAGCTTAATTGGAAGGGACCCACAAAGATCAAGTCCAGCTCTGCACAGCACCATCCCCAAGAATGCCCAAATGTCCCAACACTTCTTGAATTCCATCAGGCTGGTGCTGTGACCACTTCCCTGGGGAGCCTGTTCCAGTGTCCAGTCACCCTCTAAGTGAAGAGCCTTTCCCTGGTATCCACCCTAAGCCTCTTCTGACACAACTTCAGGCCATTCCCTCAGGTCCTGCTCACCACAGAAAACAGATCAGGGTCTCCTCCTCCTCTTCCCCTTATGAGGTTTATCAGTTATCATTATCAATGAGGTTTCACCTCAGTCTGCTGTTTTCCAGGCTGAACAGAGGACCCACTGTGGTTCCTATCAACCTGACCCAGTCTGTGATTCATTGATTCCTAACCTATCTTAGACAGCTTACATAATTTTGTCCCTTTATGTTTGTTTATGATACTTTAAATATATGACCAAAGCCATAATTAGACAGTGTTCAGATTCTATTCTTTATGATACATTAAAAAAATAAAAAATCTGTTCCTTTAATAGTATTTTAGCTTTAACTCATGATTTTAAAATTTACTTTGGTAGTGCATATAATTGGAAAACTTTTCACCTCTGTTCATGTTTTTTTTTCTTTCAGGCCATTGCAAACCAGAAATATTTCTGTTATGTACAGGTGTAAAGTTCCATCATGGCTAATATCTCCAGGTCTTCGGCAACAAGCAAACATGTAATCCCACACTCCCTTCTCATATCAAGCTAAACACTCCTGTTTATTGAACCTTTCACAAAATCTTCTCAGGTTGGTCTTTCTTGATTAAGTGTTCTGTTCCATTCTTTCTGTATGCACACACACACACACACAC